AAACAAATGGAAGCAAAATGAACATTTCTAAAACAGGAATGGGATAAAGAAGTAAGCTAACTTCAAACATGTGTTTAGTATTTGCATGCAGAGGCAATGAGAAAATGTCCATAAAAATACTAGCAATGACCCTTGTTATTGTCACTGTTAGGTGCCGTCAAGTCATTTCTGACTCATAGCCATCCCATGCACAGCAGAACGAAACACTGCCCAGTCCTGCACCAGCTCCATGATCCTTGCTATACTTGAGGCCATTGCTGCAGCCACCGTGTGAATCCATCTCATTGAGGGCCTTCCTCTCTTTCATCGACCTTCCACCTCACCAAACATGACATCTTTCTCCAGAGAATGGTCCCTTCTGACAACATGTCCAAAGTAGGAGAGACAAAGTGGCCATTCTCCCTTCCAAGGAGTATTCCAGTTGCACTTCCTCCAGGACAGATTTGTTAGCTTTTTTAGCAGTCCATGGTACTTTTAGCATTATTCATCAACACCACAACTCAAAATCATCAACTCTTCTTTGGTCTTCCTTATTCATTGTCCAGCTTTCGCATGCAAATAAGGTGACTGAAAATACCATGGCTTGGGTAAGGCACACCTTAGTCCTCAAGGAAACACCTTTGCTCCTCAGCACTTGAAAGAGGTCCTTTGTAGCCGATTTGCCCAGTGCTATACATCGTCTGATGTCCTGACTGATGCTTCTATTGGCATTGATTGTAGAACCAAGCAATGTGAAGTCTCTGACAACTTCAATCTTTTCTTCATTCACTGTGATGTTATAGATCCTGTTGCGAGGATTTTTGTTTTCTTTATATTGAGATATAATCCATACCACAGACTATTCTTCAATATTCATTAGTAAGTGCCTCAAGCCATCCTCACTTTCAGGAAGCAAAGTTGTGTTGTCAGTGTATCACAGGTTGTTAATGATTCTTCCTCCAATCCTGATGCCACGTTCTTCATCTTACAGTCCAGCTTCTTGGATTATCTGCTCAGCATACAGATTGAATGAGTATGGTGAAAAGATACAACCCTGACCGTGACGTACTCCCTTTTTGATTTTAAACCATGCAGTGTCCCCTTGTTCTGTTTGAACGACATCCTCCTGGTCTGTGTACAGGTTCCTCACGAACACAATCAAGTGTTCTGGAATTCCCATTCTTCTCAATGTTACCCGTAATTTGTTATGATCCACACAATCAAATGCTTTTGCACAGTCAATAAAACACAAGTAAACATCTTTCTGGTATTCTTTGCTTTGAGCCAAGATCCACCTGACATCAGCTATGATATCCTTGTTCCACATCCTCTTCTGAATCCAGCTTGCCATTTCTGGAAGCTATCAATACACTGCTGCAACCATTTTTGAATTATATTCAGCAAGATTTTACTTGCATGCAATACTAATGATATTGTTAGATAACTTCCACATTGTGTGGGATTACCTTTCTTTGTAATGGGTAAAAATATCGTTGTCTTCCAGTCAGTTGGCCAGGTATCTGTCTTCCAAATCTCTTGGCATAGCTAAGTGAGTGCCTCCAGTGGGGCATCCGTTTGTTGAAACATCTCAATGGGTATTCCGTCAATTCCTGGAGCCTTGTATTTCGCTAATTCCTTCAGTGAAGCTTTGACCCTTCCTTCAATACCATTGGTTCTTGATCTCAAGTCACCTCCTGAAATGGATGAACATTGACCAGGTCTGTTTTGGTCCAGTAACTGTGTATTCCTCCCATCTTCTTTTGAGGCTTCCTGCATCATTCAATATTTTGCCCATAGAATCTTTCAATATTGCAACTCGAGGTTTAAATTTTTTCATCAGTTCTTTCAGCTTGAGAAATGCTGAACGTGTTCTTCCCTTTTTATTTTCTAACTTCAGGTCTTTGCACATTTCATTATAGTAATTGGCTTTGTCTGCTCAAACTACTCTTTGAAATCTTTGGTTCAATTATTTTATCTCATCATTTCTTCCTTTTGCTTTAGCTACTTCCCACTAAAGAGTGAGTTTGAGAGTCTCTACCGACATCCATTTTGGTCTTTTCTTCTTTTCTTTTCTTTTTAATGACCTTCTGCTTTATTTATGGATGACTGTCTTGATGTCATCCCAGAATTCTTTTTTTTTTTTTTTTGTCATTGGTGTTCAATGCATCAAATCTATTCTTTGGATGGTCTCTAAATACAGGAGGGATATATTCTAGGTCATATTTTGCCTCTCATGCACTTGTTTTAATTGTCTTCAAGTTGAAAGTGCATATGAGCAGTTGATGATCTGTTCCATAATCAGCTCCTGGCCTGGTTTTGGCTGAAGATATTGAGCTTTTCCATTGCCTCTTGCCACAGATGTAGTCAATCTGATTTCTGTGTACTCCATCTGGCAAGGTCCACATGTATAGCTGCCATTTGTGCTGTTGAAAAAAAGTATTTGCAATGAATAAGTTGTTGGTCTTGCAAAATTCTATCATGCAATCTCCAGCGTTATATCTGTCACCAAGGCCAAATTTTCCAACTACCAGTGATTCTTCTTTGTTTCCAACTTTTGCATTCCAGGCACCAGTGATAATTAACACACCTTGATTGCACATTTGGTGAATTTTAGACTGCAGAAATTGATAAAATTGTTCAATTTCTTCATCTTTGGCTTTGGTGGTTGGTGCATGAATTTGAGTAATAGTCATATTAACTCTTCTTCCTTATAGGCGTATGGATATTATCTTATCACTGACAGCACTGTACTTCAGGATAGATCTCGAAACATCCTTTGTGATGATGAATGCCATGCCATTCCTCTTCAAATTGTCATTCCCGGCATAGGAGATCATATGGTTGTCAAAGTGGCCAAAACCAGTCCATTTCAGCTCACTAATGCCTAGGATATCAATCTTTATGTGTTCCATTTCATTTTTTACAATTTCCAATTTTACTACATTCATACTTCGTGCATGCCATGTTCCTATTATTAATGGATATTTGCAGCTGTTTCTCCTCAATTTGAGTCAAGCCACATCAGGACATGGAGGTCTCGAAAGTTTTACTTTATCCTTATCCGTAAGGGTTATTCTACTGTGATGATGCAGTTTTTTCACAGTCATATTTTGAGAATCTTCCAATCTACGAGGCGTGACCTCCTGCACCGCACTGGACAATGTTTCCGGGCTATTTATAAGTTGTGCAGTAATGTATCAAACAGTATTTCTTTGCTATTCATAAGGTTTTCCCTGGCCAATTCTTTGAGAAGTGGATGGCCTCTTCCTTGTTCCTAGTCTGTCTCAGTCTGAAAGCTGCATTGAAACCTGTGTACCATGTGCAACCCTGCTGGCATTAGAAACATCAGTGGCATAGCCTCAAGCCTCACAGCAACATGCAAGTCATGACAGTACGACAAACTGACAGACAAGTTTGTCTCGCTTAGCTGTTCAAAACCTCTCTGCTTTCTGTCTCTTAGGGGTGGGGCCTGTGTCCCTACCCTTACCTGAGGTCCCTGTTGCTCTGTCTGGCATCCCTTGGCTTCTCTTTCCCCCACTTCCTGCAATGACCCTTATCTGTATCTAAAAGGGTGTTGGCAACTGAATGGAGATCAAGGGTAAATTGGGAGGGCACTCCTAAACACAAATACTAAATTCCATTGATATTAATTCAAAACCATCTAAAGTTAATTTTTCCCCCCATATTCCATCCTTGAATATAGAATTTTTTTTTTAGACAGGGTCATGTATGTACCCAATGTACATACATTTTCTATTATCTTTTGACTGATGTATTTCTAATTTGATGTTATATTTCCAAACTACCAACATTAGTTTAAAATCACAGTATTTGAATATACAATGTTGTCTGTAGTTTTAAAAAACACAGAAAAAAAAATAATGTGAAATAATGAAAAAAAAACCTTAAAAAATCAATCTAAGTAATTGAAATAATAATGTACTTACAAAAAAGAAAATCACTTTTATGTCTTGTCGTTGTTGTTGTTAAGTGCCGTTGAGTCGTTTCCGACTCATAGCGACCCCATGCACAGCAGAACGAAACACTGCCCGATCCTGCACCAGCCCCACAATCCCTGCTATATTTGAGCCCATCATTGCAGCCACCGT